AACATTTGGAAAGCTTGATGTGCAATGTGCAATTCCTGAATGCTTACGTATCTGATATTGGGTGCGGAGGCTTAGAACTTGGTCACAAGTTCTGTCAATTACAATGTGTTACATATTTAACACCGTGGATTTTAACTCATGCGTGTATAGAAGTTTAGAAGATTTGCTTGAGGTATATTCAACCTTCTAATTACTTTGAAGAAGGGGATTTCAAATAAAAAAATTAGCATGGTGACTTTGTGCCTGAAATCTGAGACACATATATGCAACAAAATTCTCATGCATTTTTGAAACCTAAACACACAATAGTATCTAATATCTGAACTTTGAAACCTATATATGAGATTGTTTAATGCTCACATATTCACATACATAATATCTAAACATTGAAAGCAAGTGTACAGATTTTTTTTAATTCATTCAATATTTACATGTCTAGCATCTCTACCTTTCCTTTTACATTTATGCCACCCAATCTTCCATATCGCATTAAAATTATCGAGTTATATGTGAATACATACAAATTATGTGGTATGCATGTAAATTGCCTCTAATTCATTTCATTGCTAGCTCTATGTATTTTATTGTAATAGATACTTTTGATGTTTTGATTTATTAAAAATGCATGCGACATTGCCTGTAGGGGAGATTCCTATGAAGTAATTCATGAAAAATTGTGATGCCCACACTTTTATAAAATCCTGATAGTTTTCATTTGGAAAATTTTTGAGAAATATGCTTTACTTTTACAAAAAAAAAAAAGAACCTGAAAGTTTATGTCATATTTGGAAATTGTGGAGAGCTTTGGTGCTTCGTTTTAAAAAAAAAAAATCTGAGAGCCTTTTATGTTTGCTCACAAAGCTTGGAAAGTGACGGTGTCTTATTCTTGAAAAATCTGAAAGCCTTCGCATTAAATTGGGAAAGTTCACAAATGTTTTGGTACTATACTCATGTGAAAATCTGAAAGTTCTATGTATGTTGTTGGCAAAAATCTGAGATATTTGTGGGGCTCATTTGCAAAACCTGAAACATTTGTGGTGTTATATTTGCAAAACCTGAAACATTTGATTGGTATATTTGCAAAAAATCTGAAACATTCGAGTGTTATATTTGCAAAAAACTGAAAAGTGTGAGTGCTTTTTTTTGCAAAAAATCTGAAACATTCGAGTGTTATATTTGCAAAAAACTGAAAAGTATGAGTGTTTTTTTTGCAAAATCTGAAAAGTGTCGGGTGTTCTTTTTGTAAAATTTGAAATTTCAGGGTTGTGGTTTTCTTCGCTGTGATGGTTTAAAATTGAGGCTTTTGGAGATTTTATTTTAAGTGGCTTATTTGAAAAATCTGAAACTTTGGGTGGCACTTTGAAGCTTTATTCATTTGCGGCTTTTAATCGTGGCACTTTGAAGTTTTATTCATTTGCGGCTTTTAATCTATAAATGCTGGCCGGGGGATTTTGCTTTGACGATTTCTTCCATGACAATGTGAATAATTCTGTTAATCTGCGTCTCTTTGAATTGCCCCCAAGATGAATTTTCTAGTGTAGCTGGAGTTGGGAAGTTAAGGTCACTTTAGGAACTAAATGAGCTCAATGTTAAAAGTGGGAATGATTACAGAATTGAGAAGATTTTATGCTTATTTGATATATGAGGCTATTGATTACATTGAAAGTTGAAAGGTTCCGATTTCTTGCATGAGTTTGGTGTACTAGTGGTGGTATTCTCCGAGTTATTTTCCTTTCGTGAAGTTTTGGGGAATTCTA